GTAACTTAAAACATTTCTAAAAATATTGTAACTACAATAAAAGGTTTCTCAAAGCATTGTTAGCTAACTTAAAACATTTCTAAACGCTTTGTTATCTAAACTAGAATATTTCTAAAAGCAATATTACCCAAATTAAAACATTTATGTAATCATTGTAACTACAATAAAAGGTTTCTAAAAGCACTGTTAGCTAACTTAAAACATTTCTAAAAACATTGTAACTACAATAAAAGGTTTCTAAAAGCGTTGTTAGCTAACTTAAAACATTTCTAAACGCTTTGTTATCTAAACTAAAATATTTATAAAAGCAATATTACCCAAATTAAAACATTTATGTAATCATTGTAACTAATTGAAACATTACTAAAAGCTTTATACTGAAGTAAAACTCAGAAACATGATGAATTAAAAATGTATTTTATATATATGTTCTTAGTTTGTTGCGTTTATTCAATTTTAAAAATATTAGCAGATTGACGTAAGTTCATTTGTAAAATTGAATAATCAAACAGCCTGACACTTTTCGTTTTGTTTTTATTAAGTATACATCATAAACATTTTTTGAGAATGACGCTTAAAATAAAAAGATGATAAAATCCAACAGTGTATATCACATCACACCCTAGGTTATTCCGTAGGTTGATAACCATGAAAATATTTAAATTACACGACAGTTTCTTATGTTTCTCAGTTATTACAACTATAATATATATATGACACATCCGGTTAACTTACTCTGAAACCCAAGCATTTTTACTGATAATTATGCTTCTCAATTCTTGTTTTTCTGTGTTTACTTTTTTACAAATGTCAAATATATTTATTTTTTGTAAAACGTGCTCATTTCTGAAGGAAAGAAATGGATATTGTATGGACGAGGCTACGTTAGGACTAAATAGCGTACATTTTTCCAGTAAAAGAATGTTTCATTGTTGCAGCAAATGTCAACAAGCGCGATTATTCTTAGAACATTGTTCTCCTATGTATCGAAACTGGAATTAGTTGACAAGCAAACAGGAAAGTAAGCAAACTGTTGGATCTCTAATATGAATACAGAACATCCGCATAGGCTTAGGATAAACTTAGAAATTATATCTTTAAACAAAGATGTATTTTATATAAAGTTTATTTTAGTCTAATTACTTTTTTCTTATATATTTTATTTTCCATATATTCTTTCTTTTTTACACTTTACACGTATTATTCTCTCCGGCTTTTCTTCAGCGCCAGTAATTCCAATCATTTTACTTGCGGTAAAAACTTGTATTTGTATTTTTACTAAATATTTTCGCATAGCAAATGTAATAGATTTTTTCTGATTTAAAATACTTTTAATCATAGCTTTGCAGTTCGTTCCGGTTCCTATTTCCGGTTCCGGTTCTTATAGAGTTACAAAGAAGGGAAATTATGTTTAACGATTTCATTAAGAAATATATAACTGTGTTTACCAGCTCAACATCTTGGGTTGGTTTCAAATTTAGAAAACAACTCGCCCGCCATCTATAGAAGAATATTTAACTAAAACAAACTAATTAGCAAAGAAAACCAACAACCGAAGTAGTGAGTACACCATTAAACCAGCCAATCATAACCCTTTCGAAGTAGTTAGTACCCCCCATCAACCAAGTAGTTATCATACATTTAATCTATGTGATTATAGATTAAATGTATGATAACTACTTGTCTGATGGAGAGTACTAACTACTTCGAAACTTTTATGTGATTATAAAAGTTTCGAAGTAGTTAGCACCCCCATCAACCAAGTAATTATCATACATTTAATCTATGTGATTATAAAAGTTTCGAAGTAGTTAGTACCCTCATCAACCAAGTAGTTATCATACATTTAATCATCTGATTATAAAAGTTTTGAAGTAATTAATAAAACGTAATTAAATCAAGTAGTTTTTAAATCCCTAAACTGATCGAGTGTTAAACCTATACTCCTGTCATCCATTACCGATTATATCAATGAAACAAGCATATGTGAGCTTGTTATCCATTACTGAATTAAGCAAGTTTGTCACATTGAAAGAAGCACGACAACTGTCACTACTAAAAGTGTATGGAATATTATTTAACCAGTGAGTTTCGATTCCCTGAATCTGAAAACCATTTTATCCCATAAGGTGTATTCGCGGAGAAATCGGTCCAAAATTTGGGAACTTTCACCATGAAGCATAAGAGGAAATTATCCACCCTCTTTACAAACAATCCACCGTGACCGGTAATAGAAATTTGTTTGTTAGCTATGCTGGGCCCACTACGAGTATTGAAACCTGGTTTTCAGAGGTGTGTGCTCTCAGACTTGTCGCTGAGCCACTGGAGTAGTAGAAACAGGCGTGTTTTGCTAAGAATGTTTGAAGATTTTAAATCCTATTTACACCAGGGGGCGAAGTAGTTACGTGGATATACAACACACAGTACTATTATATTTATGTATATATCAAACAAAATAATTTTTACATATATTAAATACAAGATACCCGGTTTTATGCTGTAAAACTGAAACAATCGGTTAGAAAATAAGTAATCATTTTTGAACTGGACAAATTCCTGATATGCATTAAGTGGTTTGTATCTCCGAGAGAAATACTGAGGTCGGGTTCGAACCTTGCAGTTGGTGGCTTAGAAGGAGGGTGAAGATTATATATTTTTTATGTACTTAACGATGAATGTTCCCAACTTTAGGGCCCGGTCTGTCTTTGAAAACAAAGTAAATAAATGATACATTTATTCTTACAAAATAAGGTGTTTCCAAAATTTTCTTTATCTTCAACATTGCTTCACTTCAATAAAACTAAAACCAAAAACTTTAATATCGTATGAGCTTAGTTAAAATAAGTAAATAGGATAATATGCGTCAGATTTAAAAAGGCTTACAACTAAATAAATGCTGGCTATTAGCTAAACATCTCCACCAGGTGGTGAAATACTTATAATGGTATTTTGGAACATTTTCTCCTTCCAGATAGATATTACATAAGTTTTACCCTTTAAAGAATTACATGTTACATTTTAAACGGTTCTTCAAAGTATAATAGCTTACTCATATTAACATATTATTTTTATCTGTCAAGCTTCTTAGCCGTTAGCGAACGACAGGACACAGATGTAGTTCCGACAACACATGGAGACGAACTCTGCCAGACTCGGACAAACCGTGAAGGATCGTCAGTGAGTGAAAATAGTTTGAATCTATTTCTATCAACTTAACTTTTCTTTGTTTGTCTGCTTCCAAAACAGCAACGGACATTTTTCTCGACTTATTGGTGACTTGTTTCTCTAGTACGGTGTTAAAGTGAAATAAAAATAACTGGATAGTGTGATGTTTTACCTGTCACAAAACCACGTGGCCATGTCAATATCAACTATATAAACTAACATTCTCAACTTGAAATTGTT